GCCACGCCTTCACTTATAAGGTAAAGCTTATTGAAGTTTGGTTTACTAAAGTAAAAGTGGATCATGCAGCCCCATTGGACTTGGATGCCCAATAAGTTCACAGGTAACGTCAAGGCAAAGCAAATACAATGCCATAAAAAATATCCACATGTATTGATTCAGCCGCACTCACATGACTCTGATGCTTGCTTCTGTGATGCAAAAAAAAGGAAAGTCTTTTCCTGAAGGGAGCCTTCAGTTACAAAAAAGCCAAAAAAGCTGTTGATCGGGGACACCCAGGGGCCACAAAAGATGGACAGCAGGCGCCAGCCAACCACCTGAAAACAGATTGTAATTAATTATCAGTATATCCAGCTTATGCATCATTTTCATACAATTGAATTCGATCGATGAAGTTCTAGCGGTTGATGTGTATTTCCACGAATAGTCTTTGATACCTATCCAATAACTTATCGGACATAACATCAAAGCTTGTCGCGATCAATTTTTAACCTGGCGGTCGTAAGTCGCCTGGTAAAGACTGAAATAAAAAGCAAATGGCCGATTAATGGGGCGGCCAGGATAATTAAATATTAAAGTGGATATATCTTTTCTATAATAATCATTATCATAGACTATGAAATCTGCAAATCTGTGCTATTGGCAATATCATTAGTCAGGAGTCAAGATAGATAATACGGGATCCTAAATAATCTATAATCCGCTAAGCTCTAAGTCATGCCTAACGCTAATATATACAATCTAATATCTAGGAACCCTAAGTATCTAACGCTAATAATATCTAAATCGCTAATCTCTAAAGATCGCTATATATAGGATGCGCTATATTATCCCTTTACTCCTGATAGTTATATAACTCACTCACTATTGCCGGAAGTGGAGGCGGGGAGATTTGAGATTTCAAGTAACCTGTATTGGGAGGTGGCATGATGCCAGGACCTAAAGCTCCCACCTGTAGATAGCCCGTTGGCGGTGGCCCGACCGTGACACTAGCCTACTCGATGGCCAATAGTGCCAGGGAAGCCAGCATTGGAATCATTGCAGCACTCCCCGGCCCTGCTAAGCCTAAGTTCATAGCCTCATTAGCCCGCCCAGTACTATTTCTTCGTGGCCAACAGGCCTTTAGGATTAACACTCCGGTGGCATTGACGGAGGATAACACTCCTCTGTCAGTTTATGCAGCCCGTGCGACATTTATTATCTTGTTAATTATTTGCTAAAAATAGTGAAAGATAATCCTTTTTTAGCCCAACTATTTCTACTCTGCTAACATTGAAGCCCATCTCCTAAAGGCTTTATGCTAAATGACAAGGTAAATTAGAAGCAGTTCTGATTATTGTTTAGTATGAGGGCCACCAACTCTGGTGAAGCATATTTCTAATATGGGGAGAAGCAGGGTGAGGGTGTTGTGCAAAGGCAGGGACCGAGTTTTAGAAACTCGGTTTAATCTAAGGCTATGGTACGCCCGTCCAGACTCAGACGACGCCGTGTTCATGTCGTAGTGAGGCCTGACAGCCGTTCCACACCTAATAAACCGCAGTAGCTTGAAAACACACTCAAACGGTTAAATTTCGTAATTAAACACAGAAAAAAGGGACAATGCGTATTCCCACATTTGCATATAACGTGTTAACAATGATGCTAGTGTATGCTCACATATGGCCACACTTCTAACTGGTGATTATGCCGGGTCGTATTCCCAGTGATTTATCAGATAATTTGGAAAGGAGTTTCCGTCTTTTGAATGTTGGCAAACTCCACCCTTGCATTAAGTATGGCATGCCGCGCCGAGAACTAATACAAGACATGGCGAGAGTTGCGGGAAAAATCATGCCCCCCATCAGAAGTTCAGCACAGGGTAATGGCCCCCACCTTGTTCAATATTCTGCCCTGAGCACGTAATTACATACTTGGAATTAGCACGCATATGTTCTAAGTAATGGCTGTACAGAGACAGCGGTACGAGGACTCATTCCGAAGTTGAGGAAGGATATTGGGTAATGTTTTGTTAACATCGCTTATGATAGGCTAGAAGGTTTGGACTCGCATAGGAACGTCTGCTTATATGACGTTTCTTGCACGGGGCCAGCGCTAGTGAAGAAAGTGAGGAGGGTACACTTGTGGCTAATGTTAATCGAAGGCCGCAGCATCGCTAAGTTTTTCAATTTCTTAATCGCCATGAAAGTTCTGTTGGAGATTTATTGAAGCAATAATAATAATATACCTAAATAATAATAAAAATTTAAGTATAAAGAAGAATAATTTAATATTGTTTTTATAACAAAAAAAGTTCCTGCAGCATTATTAATATAGCAATATTTTTCATTTTACTATTGCCAATAAGTATTGTTTTTTTCTATTCTAAGACTATTAGTATTATATGAACAAGTATATTTGGTTTTATTAATTTTATAGTATTACTACTATTACTATTAGAGCTGTACTGTAGTGGAGGTCTGTAATAGGTACTCAATCGACTACTCCAGGAGTAGAGATAATATCAGGATCCTATATTATCTTAGCTGCCTGCTACTACTAGTACTGAGTAGGGTACTTTCCAGTCGTGGGTTTTTAGTTTTTTGAAGGGAATGGCTTTTACATGATAAAAACCGCGCTTGTTAAGGACGCTTAACCCAGGTTAAGTAGAACGAGACGATCTACAAAACTAACAAGTCCGGACTGCGGAGCGACACGCGCTGCATCTAAGCGTCTACTCGCGGTGCCCTCTGTGGTGGAGTGGGTGGAATTCCTCAGTAAACCGCTCGTTAGTACCGCCAAATGTGTTCACAACACAGCCGAAAGCAGTGGAATGCAAAGGAAGCACAGGAACGGCATTGCTCAAAAAGGAATTTTCGTTGGGCATCGTTATGAAAGTTGCCAACGAGATGGCGCGTACGTTTTAAGTGTCTTCAGATTAAAGATGGAAGCTCCCATGCGTACGTAGTAGCAAGCAACTAATTTGCAAAAAGACATTTTAATAGGTAAGCACTCATGCCCATTTAGCCTACCGCAAGCCTACGTACTGGCAATAAGAGCAGCTGGCCACCTGTAACACGCAGATTAACGCAGGCAACAAACTGAACAGCAGTAACCACCAGCCACATGCACTGGGCAGTGGCCCAGCTGGCGTGGCATACGTTACATGTAACATACTGACAGTACAGAATGGCCAATAGAATTATACCGATTTAAAGGAGCATAAACGCTTCTTCAACCAAATTTATGCTTTTTGAAATTTCACTGTGCGACACCGAGGCCTCATACATCCAGGCATGTATAGGATTCTACTAGGCAAAACTCGGCAGTCATTTTCTTTCCTAACAGAACAGTAAACAAATCCCATGTTAACCCTCGCTCTTGAGGGTCAAAAGCGGTTACTCTGAGCAGGCTTACTGCTATGTTCGCATGTCAGCAAGAAAGTAGATTTTTCATGTCGCTTTCAATAAAGCCAATAAAAAACGCTAGCTGCAGCGCTGAAATCAAAAAAGTTTTTCAATTGTCCCGTGCAGACGCATGTGCTCAGAAAAATGCTGCTAAATTCTGCCGCTGTGACCCCGAGTTGACCTTTGACCGTGTGACCCTCCAATTTCGGCACACGCTGATGGTAATTTTCATACCATGTGCTATAACACCGACTGACCACACAGCCTAGGGTCGAAGCCGTTTAAGATTTGGTGCTGCAATTCTGCATTTCGCCTCCCTATCCTTAAAGTTAAGGAGGGAAATGTTCCCGTTCTTTTTACATCCTCTGACCTTGTGAACCGCTTTGGACCCCACTCATCGACATCCCAACTAGTTTTGACGATGCCGCCCCGACGTCCCGAAATAATCCGGTACACGCGTACGTCAGCGGTTAAGATTTGTGTGCCAATCTGTTGACGGACGGACGGCCGGACGCACGGACCTGGACTTCGCTGCGACTTCTAGCATAGCTGGCATCCTGACCTCTCGTCAGATGAGCTAATAAATACTCTTATCAAATGAAATATAATTATAAACATTACATTGACTCTTGAGTCCTAGTCTGACATGTTGTAATATGATAATCTCATGAAATTCATGCTGAATGTCTAGACTAGTAAAGATATAAGATACTCGATACTCTGGCTTAATGACTAAGTAATACTTGGGCTGATGGGGTCTATGTCCCCCAGGATACTGCCGGAACGTACCCTGGATACGGTCCGGTATACCGGAATGTACCCTGGCACTAAATACTACAATCTAATATGCCGGACCATACCTCGCCTACTCCACTAACGAGTCTAGGGAGTCGCCTACGCCTACTCCCTAACTCTAACCATATCCCTAACCATATCAGCTAGATACTTACCAGGGTACGTTCCGGTATACCGGACGGTACCCAGGGTACGTTCCGGCAGTACCCTGGGGGACATAGACCCTACGAGCAATACTTGGTACGAGTTTCCTCTGACCAATGACCACACCAAATCCACCAAAATCGTCGGTGAGAGGAAACTCGGAGTAACTCGTCTACTGTCACTCATTCACTGTCATCGCCGGTAATGATTTACTTACCGATTTTTGAATACAGCCTGTAGGTAAGATCCTAGCAATGTTTTCTAACTAACTACATATACTATAATATAGTATAATATTATTAGTAGGCTGTAGCTTGTATACTAATAGTAATAGTAGATCAGCGACTTTCGATTCTTGTTTCGAGTTGTGTATTCGTCATAGATCTATCGTTTCCCATGACGTCACTAGTTTGGCTGCACCAGGCATCAGTATAGATCAAACTGGCTTGAAAGGCTCTTCTGAAGCCGGCTTCTTTTTACAGGCGGGCGCTTGCATGTGATTGACTTTGCCTATGGTGATTGCACACATCCACAGGCACTTGGAACGTTTCAATAATAAAATGATGGTAATTAAACACGAAATGTATTTACCACCAGTCAGAAATTTTCCGCCTATTATTACCTCCGCCAGGGGCGTGGCGGAGGTTATGTTTTCACCAACGAATGTTTGAGCAGTGCTCTGGTTTGAGTGTTGGTTGCACCAAAGATCATATACAATGTATATGATGTATATATGTATACAATTGTATATGATCTTTGGTTGCACTCCAGTCCTCCCCCACCTGCACGCTCGCACTAATCCGGATCCAATTAATTATTTAATTAATAAAAAATTCCGCATTGAGAGAATTCAGCTGCCTTGGCAGAGGTCTGTGCTCTCCGAGTGCTCTAGTTAGTAATAATTTACTGTAAATGTCATTCAAATGCTCCAGGGCGGATCCAGGATTTTGGAAAAGGAGGTGTCCAGGAAGAAATAAAGAGCACTTTCTCCTGCTTAATTTTGCTGGTGTTTTAAAAGGCTGCCGAAGGCCACTTAGGGGGAGGTTTCGGGGACCTCCCACAAGATGTTTTTTTTTTAAATTGGTGCATCTGAGCAGTAATTTTGATGTCTAGAATGCAAGATGGAATTCCAAATTTTTAGCCGAAAATTATATTTCAAGTCATCCTACAGTGAAATTTAATTTATCGGATTGAACAACAAAAATTTATCAGATTCGGTTCGCCCCTCCTTCGCTCGCCTCTGCCCATTTCTAGGTTTTTATAACGAATTAATATATATACACTGTATAAGTAAATCTATATTAGAAAAACTAGCCCTAAAAAAATTGGGATGAAATTTTTTAGGGCACTATGAAATTAAATGAGGCCCCTGATGTAACACACAAGTATATACACCGTACGCACGCCAACTCTTCCTCCCTATGCGTATGTTTGGCGATAATGACGTTGCCACGTCGGCTGCGTAGCGCCAAAGGTAAATGACATAGAACCGGTGTTATGCATTCAAAACAGAGAGTCACAGACGTAATTATAAGGATAACGCCATATTTCATACGTCCTTCTCACTATCAGCATTTTTAGTACATAATAAAGGTTATTCTGCTGAGTTGTATAATATCAGGAGTCTATCAATATTGATAGATAGATAGATAGACTCCTGATAATATAGCATACCGTAGGTGAAAATATCAGATGCAATACTATATATCGACCTTATGCTTAAACGAAAGGTGGTTTGTGCAGATATTTTCAGTGAAAGAAATGAGTTCAATAAGCCGCGAAACGCAGTAACAACCAATAAGGTAAGAGGCGGCGAATGAAGGCAGGCAGGCAGGCAGACAGACAGGCAGGTAGTTAGACAGGGTTACACCGATAAAAGTATCACACAATATTTGACACACAAACAGGCGGCATCTTTCCACAGTGTTTAATAAAGGTTTCAATGAACGTGGAGGAACTCAACATGAAAAACAAATCACGGGATGAGATCGAACGGGGATAAAGTAAGGAACGTGTCACAAAATACAACTAAATGAAAACGCCTACACGGTACAACGAGAGGAGCATGGGAGTCACCGACTACAACGGATCGGAAGGTGGGGTTCATACAAGCACGCATATACCACACGGCGCATAACACTCTGGAAGCTTTTAGGAAGTACAGTCGAGTCCATCGAGAGACAAAGGACATAAGGAGGCACGACTCGAACTCACGGTACATTAAAACCAGCAATGTTGCGTCGTGTTGACTGTAAATGAAACTTGTATTCTCATGATTTATTCGGATGTATCGTAAATATGATCCATACACGAGTAGTAGTTGAAGACTTGCGGCCACCCTTGGCGCCCGAAGAGTAACTCTCTATACAAAATACTATACACGTTAAAATAAAATCACGTTTCATGTCGTTTCCAATAATGTCCTGTTCCACGTCACCAGCGGCAGAGGGAGGAGCGCAATTTAATAACAATATTTGCAGCTAGCAGAAGAAAGACGTACGCTTGTGACCCAACACAACACTACTCCGCACCAACTGTCAACACACTGACCACAGCTCAATAAGTTAGCTTCAACATAATTGATCTTATTATTGAAACCAAACAGGCTAAAAAAGAAATGATCATAGAAAATGAAACCAAAACTACCGGTGACCGACGACAAGTGTCAACACCAAGTGCTATTTAGCACTGATGATCGACAAGATAAACGCATCTTCAATGGACAGATATCTCCACGTAGCTCATACCGTCAACTTACAATAATAGTGTAAATACAAACGCGTAGGCATACACAATAAATTGTGGAAATACACACACATCAGTGACGTATAAATGTGACTCTGGCAATAATTACACAATTTTTCTCATGTGAATTGCACGCAAACACACGGGATAATGGGCACGGGAGTAGTTTACCCATATAGGTGCATGAACAAACTGTTTGGATTTCCTGTTCTAATGCGTTATTCTTAAAAAAAAAATAATGCTCATTGCTATTTGCTTCAGTGATAGAAACACTTCTAAAATCATACACACAAACTGACAATTTTCTACGCATACTCCCAGCGCGGAGCAACCCAGATAGATTCACGGACTTCATTCATTTGAGAACAGTCCACACGAGTGATGCTAGCTAATAAAATGATTACGAGTCATTTGTATTCACTTTTCTTGCGCCAAAATCATTATCCGAAAGGCATTACCAGCTACCACCCACTTCCTAGCTTGGGAAACATTTAATATGATTTCAAATAGTTCACAGCAACTATGCTCATTAGTATGTGCAATACGTCAAATTTTTTTAAAACCAATACTAAACTTCGGTGCACACTACAAAATCAAAGATATTAGAGTACACACCTGGCTATGAACTTCAACCGCCTACTCTTTATATGCAATTTGTCATCTTCCTTGGCTTTAAGCTGGGAAGACCAGTTACTGGTTTACTGGTTTTTACACATATATAGGTACTAGGTGACAAACATGACACTAACTAACAGTGGTAATTGACAGATAATGACATTTCAAATGTGGGTGGTACAATAAATTTTCATTCTTGGCTGTCTTTACTCCTAATGCATACGCCCTGTTCACTCCATTACATTCACACTTACTCTACATACATCAAAACGTTGACACCATGAACACGACACACACCTACACCACTGCCACTACCACGCCTCAAATCCCAGCAGTGCCCGAAGCATGTTCCTAAATCGATTGGTTGACATGACACTTTCGAGACAGTATGGAATGCGTAGTAGACCTGGCAGGCCAATAAAGCTGTGCACTAAATGCAGAGCCGCTGCTGTCACTGCTAGTATGGTGCAAACTTCTGTCTCTCCGACTTCTTTCCGTCTGTGTCAGCACCGCGCATCTTCGTCTGCAGGCTCCGCTGTCCCATCAGGTCAAGCAGGGAGCCACCACCGAGCCCTCCGAATCCGCCGCCGCCGCCGCCGCCACCACCCATGCTACTCAGAAAAGCTGCAACAGACAAGGCAACGTGCAATTATGACATTGAATACAGGTAAATAAAAGTTTCCATTTTTCAATAATAGATAAATGAATGAATACGATAATGCTGGTCGGTCACCGGTTAGCACTCTCGACAGAGAACTACTGCAGCTGCTTGTAGCTTTTTCCTAAAATGCAATTTGCCTTATTGCAAGACTCGACCAAAGTACAGATGCTCGTAAATAGCGTACCTGCGAGAGGATTGCCGCCCATGCCTCCACCCCCTCCACCTCGTCCACCCATTGCATTCAGTAGCATGTTCGTAGCGCTTGTGTCTGGCTGGCCGGCTTTATCTTGCTCAACACTGCACAACACAACAAATCCACTGACCACCTTCACGCAAGCGGAAGTAGTTCACAACGAACCGAGGCACTGGTACGGACTACGGCAGATCTCTGTGAGGAAATCATCTTACCGGTGTACAGTGTTGAGGTGTCTAGCCAGGCAATGCAAGTTTACAAATACATCCACGAAGGTGCTAACCAGCCGAATGGCTGCGTCAAAATTTAGACACAGTATACGTGCGCGAGACTCCGAAGTGTATTTCAAGAGTTTTTGCCATGTGCCTGAACGCTCTACATGGACGCCCACACAACAACACAGCACTCACCACGTATTGATGAGATATTCGGCCATCTGGATCTGCTGACTTGTTCCAGTGATGGTGATGGGGCGCTCAGTTTGGCCGTCTTCTTTCGGCGCTATTCTGATCTGCGCTCCAGAAAGTTGCCTGCAGGTGCAATTACGCTTAGTAGTCAGTTGACAACAAACTGGTAGTTCACCATGCCATAGTTTGTTTAAATAGCACCTTTTCGCATGCACTCTAAAGCCGGGCGCACACGTGGCGATTTTTAGCGACAGTAATGTCGATAAAAATTGCCACGTGTGCAGGACCCTGCGACAATGCAACCCTCTGTCAGCAACATACCACTGTATGAACTGTACGTGACCTGTTCAAAATGGAAGCGCCCATTGACATCACGATAGCCGTTCTTCAAGTTATTGGAATATATTTAATAATTATGCGTCGGCGTCGTCGACAGACAGCAGCGAGAGAGAGACGTACATGGGCACGTACGTGGGTGCTGCAACGTGATTCGCGTGTTTTTAATAATTTAGTAAGAGAACTGGAGCTTGAAGATTCAGTGACGTACCAGCGTTATTTTAGAATGAAAAAAGAACATTTCAATGCAATTCTGACACTGGTAGGAGCAAGGATGAGCAAGAAGAACACAGTGATGCAGAAATCCATTGCACCAAACGAACGTGGGCGCTGCCATATTTGATCACATGCTTCAAATCATGCATTTGATTGGTTAATCCAAAAACTGTTGCCTGAATCCATCGCCAGTGCAGCGCACACGTAGCGATTGTTCAGCGACTTGGCAACAAATATCAAACGTGTTTGATATTCCAGCGACAAGTTTCTGGCGTCAAAATCGCCAGTACTGTCGATAAAAATCGCCACGTGTGCACCCGGCTTAACTGTCACCATTCGCTGTTTTTCATCCTAATTATAACATGTGAAGAAACATGGGAGAACCATGTCCAAACCACATTTTAGACACGCAGGGGCAACACATACCGAATTTCATTGATCTTCTGGCCACCTCTGCCGATCACACGTCCAACAACCTCATTGGGAATTGTGATCTCCTGTGTCTCGTCGTCCTCCTTGGGGCCACCCCCGGCTGCACCGCCTCCTGATGGGCCACCCATTCCACCGCCCATCCCACCTCCACCACCCATTCCCCCATTGCCAGCACCTCCGCCTCCGCCTCCTCCCTGACTCAGAGCCAATAGGAGACCTGCAAAAAAGGCAGCGCCATGAAGTTCGATCCCGTTATTAGCCGGAACATTTTAAACAGTGTCTCGCGTCTTATGTGACGGTGGATCCCAAAGCTCGCAGGCTCTCACTCAAATACGAGACAAACCCTGATGATTAGGGCCAGTTTTAATACGTTATGTATCGATAAGGAGACGCGAGCAAACGCAACTGCTGCACTTACTTTGCAGGGGATTTCCACCGCCCATGGCTGCTCCACCACCCATGGCTGCTCCACCGCCGCTACTCTGCAGGAGCTGTGTCAACTGGGCCAGCTGCTGAAGCTGCTGCAGCTTCACAAGCTGAAATCGAAATGAGAACAACATCACGCACAGCTCTTACACACGCACTCTTACACCGATAGCCTAACAGTTTCGAGGATCACCTACGTACGGCAAGGTGGAGGTAACTCTGGGTCGGGCGAGGTGTACTGTTGAACGAGAAAGGCACTGTTAGCTGCAAAACAAGTGTATCCGTGCGGCAGCTTGGGATCAGTGAACAAACCCATGCACGCCTGCACACAAACTGTCACGTTCATAACACGAATATGGCAGGCGAATCCGTAACGATAAAGAACAATTTGTTTACGTTTTAGAACAGCTTTTGGCCCAAGACAGTTTGTGCACAGGCATACCGCAACTATCAGTACTGATGGAATGGAAAATATCTGGGAATAATCTTCGAGTCTAGGAATAGGTTCAGCATCACCAAGACAACTTGGAGAATATTCTGTAGAAACTGCTAAAAATGCACAGATACTAATCAGATATGAACTTATAGGGCTGACAGGATGAGTGGTATTTTACATAAGATTATCAGATTACACACAGCGGTTATGGCCGGTCATCGGATTTGGATGCTGAGCTGTAAAACAGAAATGGAAGTTGAGTTGGCGGCTAGTAGCATTGGCATAGAAATGAGACTGGATGATCGGCAGAGAAATGTGTGTAAATGCCAGAGGGGTGGCACGACAACCAGGAAGCTGTAAAGCTATGCTCCAGGATAAACCAGTGACAAAACTCAAAAACTCTTTGTAGCAATGAGCTACATTCTCTGGATGGAAGCATTTAGAAAACTAAGTTAGGTAAGAGGATAATGGCAGTTATAACCTAGCTATGAAGTAACGAGTTATCAACTTGACCAAACACAAAATGGTTACAGGCATCTTGTAATGATAAAGCATTGTTGCTACAGTCGAAACAGTATGTCATGCAGTCTTAAAATACTATGCCAACACGCACGTGATCACGCAATTTTCATTTCTACAATGCGATGCCCTGACAGGCTACACATGCAGGTCAAACACGCTTCAAAGAAAGGCAGGCAGTGTGGTGTCAGCAGGAGAGAGCCCTAGCGATTGGAACTGGCGGCTGAACAAGATGCAAGTGAAACACCGGCAGAACGGCTTGAGATGGCCCACACATCGGGCAGCAGAGATTTAGGCCTTCAGCATGGAAGTAACATGGTAGCTGGCGCAGGCGGTGGCAAGACGGGTAAACGTCTCTGGCGGGTGGCAACAGAGATATCTGGAAGCAACTGGAAACTGTGAAGAATGTCAGACATGAGGCCAACGGCATGACGAGTAGACGTGGCTGGTCTGTGCATATCAGAGAAAACAACCGGCAAGACGGGCGGGTGTCCTTGAAAACTGGAAGCAATGAAGTTATCTGGAATGCAGTTGAGAATGTCGTAGGACCGGCAGCATGGTAGATCAGAAATGACCGGTCTGGTTGTGAATAAATCGGTAAGACAGGCAGAGACATCCCTGAACTTGGTAGCATGAGAATCGTCTGGAATTTTCAGAAGCAGTTTATCGATGGAGGCCTGTAAATGGCAAGCGGAGCAGTATCTTCACAAGAGGAAGAAAGTGGCCGAAACAAGGTCTCCAATGTGACGGCAAGACTGGTCTTCACGGAGGTCACACTTATAACAGTCAAACCTACCACTGTATCAACGCCAGTCACAAGAATCATGCCAAACCTTCATCCGCCAGTGTAGCAAGGCTGAAATACAATAACAAGTGTTCTATTTACTGCTACAGTGCATATTTAAGTGAGTTTTCCTGCACTGTATCAGTTTAAAAAAATAAAACAAGGCCAGTGTATAGAAAACAATTATAGATAATTATTAGTTTTAAATGGCACCGTAAAAATTATAAATATAAAGCATCAACTGTATACAGCTTTAGAAATTTACTGATTACATCCTAAGCATCCCATAACAAAGGTAGGATCATGACACCATATTCAGCCTGTCTGCAAGTTCTCTGCCATGTCTAAAATGATGGTGATTTTTTCTTGAGATACACAAACACTCTATTACATGTATGGAACAATGGACAACCACAAAAATCCTATGACAACCAATAAGGTATATCAAACATATATAACCAAGATTATTACTTGTATTATAACTACATACAGTATCACTCTCATATAATAAAACTGAAACTGCATTTGCAAGGAATTTAACTTGAGCATTCTTTACCTCTTTCCTAAATTATTTATTTATTATTCTTATTATTTTTTAATTATTAATTGTTATTATTTTTTCATTACCTTTCAGAATACGAAAAGAAAGGTAAGGCTAATATGAACCTAGAGAACAAGTAAACATGGTGAATGCAACGTCATACCTCCATGCTCATGTCTGAGGAATCTCCGCCTCCTCCACCACCGCCTCCTCCCATTCCTCGTCCCATGTTCATCATGCCGCCTCCTCCTCCTCCTCCCCCCATCAGCGGGTTCATTCCACCAGCTCTAGGTCCACCTGGAGATGGCCGGTATGGAATTGTGGCTCCTTTAGGGGGCGACTGAAACATATAAGCAGTCAGTGCATCCAGACAATATATTTTTTTAAGCTACATGGTTTTTCTACATACTTTAAACCAAATCATTTATCAGTGAACTTGGACCATATCACATAGCTTACAATCTTAAATTAAACAAGTTATTCAACTCTTATTCATAAGCGAGTTACAACAAAATAAACTAAATTCACACCACAAAGATCCCATCTACCAACGACCCCCCACCCACTCTCTATTAACGGGATGATATTTAAAAAGCAAAAGAATTACCTCAAGCATGACACAGCATATGTGGTAGACAGCTTGTGTGATCGACTCAGCCGTTCCAGATATTGTAACTGTCCGCTCAGTGGAACCAGGCAGCATCTCGCTCGCTACTTGGACTGACGCACCAGTCACCTAGCGACCATAAAGGACACAAAAGAGTTTTACAATACTAGCGCATTCTACTCAAAAACATGCAAGCACAAACGCTACCAACTACATTACGGAGCTATTAACGACTAACTAGAATTTCAGTGTACTACATCCGTACTGCAAATAGCTCTAGTCAACTTTCTACTTCTTACATCTGCAACATAGAGATGTCGTTTCAAATAGAATAATCTTACCTCTCTTATCTCTCTGATTTTCACGCCGCCTTTTCCAATGATAGATCCGCATTGACTTGCAGGCACAATTAATTTTAATGTCACTGGTGGCTTGGGAGCATTCCCCAATGTCTTGTTAAAATCCTGAAAATTTATTCAAGACATGCAATACCACTGAGGAACAACTTAATGCATAGCTACAAATCTAAACGGTTCTCTTACCACACGTGAAACAAGAATTGGATACACTGAAGAAATTTACCACTACCCCAAATCCAAAGATCATTCAATAAAATTGTGATAAATGCCTACAAACAAAGTACTACTGTCAATAACTTACAGCTTCTTCAAATTTTTTGCAGATAAGTGCGAATGCCTTGTAGATGGCATCCGTGTGGCCTGTAACCGTCACGATACGCTCTGGACATGAGCTGTCAGAAATGTTAACTTTTGCTCCACTCTATAGAAAAAAGAGACACCCGTTAAATAGCCAACCTTTTAAATCCTCATTAGTTTGCAGGGTAGTATACATATTTCTACAAGGCTGACAGCTGATGATACTTACTAGATAAATATTTGAAGGCTACTACTAAGTCAGCGGTATACTTAAGAGAAAGTTACTAACAGGTCAGTCGACCCTGACCCGTTTCCCACCTGACATTCGACTGGCAATACTCTCTTTAGACTAGGTCCATAATGTTAGTCTCATTTGTAAACTAATAATAATTCCTGCTGTACTTCTGATGCAAATATTAAATGCTATTTTATTATTTTTCCCTTTACAGTACAAAAATAATATTAACACTAATACATAAATTTAAATGGTGAACAAAACTTATCCTAACATTCCATAAATGTACAAATAACACTACAGCTAAAATAGTCAATTAAAGGGACACATTACCCTAGGTTCCTTACATATTTTCAGTTAAAATAGGCTTACATTACACTACTTAAAAAATTCACTGTTCGATTTTCATTAGAAATATTATTTTAATGTTTTAAAACTAACGGCTATAACACTGTTGATTACGACGACGGTGCCGCTACTACTAGCGCATCCACTTTCAAAGTTGCGCATCGTAGCTTTTCAACTGCAGGTTACAGACCGAGGACATTTCTTATTTATCAATTCAAAAGGAGAAGGATAGCATTATTTTAAAAACAAGTCTTAGTTTCAGTTATAATATGGACGAATTTGTCCTAGCAAAAAATTCTTCGGTTAAATAGGAACTTACGTACAAATATAATTGCACTTTTGTGATTAGCCCTCGGTCTGTAATGTGCAAAATAGAAACATATGCTTCTTTCGAGAGCTGACCCTGCTTTTCAATACCAAGGAAGAACTAAAACTAACAAGTGACATTTCAATTAGGTACTCACTTCTTCTCTTATTGCTTTGACATTTTCTCCTTTCTGAAACCAAATATCAAACAAGGAATATTACTTGTAAAATCTCTTTGTTTAATGTAACAGCAGGCTCCACAAATATTTTATATCTGGCTCCACAATCAGGGTTCTCCCTACGTTGCGCGAACGGGGCGTGCGCCCTGTTTGGGAAAACTCCCCCCTGTTTCAATCGTTGCGCCCCGTTTAAATTACCTCCGCCCCGATTAAATTCCACCACAATAAAAGTTTGACAGCACGGGAATCCATCGTCAAGAATTCCCATTCGACCAGGACCACAGACACGTGTATTTTTACCGTACCACGCATGCACTGCAGACCATACACAAGTACAAGCAGTTAACCTGTCCCGAACCCAACACTAACTGTACACAGACTCGGCTATCTTATATATACAAGAACCCCAAATACCGTCTATGGTGTGGTGGCGATTTTACGCATTAATTAGTGTTACGGCAAAAAAACACGCCCCCGGACCCCCCTAGTTCCCCCTCCCTTCCCCTCCCCTCCCCCTGTTTCAATTTCATCCTGGGGAGAACCCTGACAATAATTATAGATATGGATGTAAGTAAATAATAACTCACCTTTCCTATGATAACTCCCACTTCCTACAAGAAAAAAAAAGAAGGTAAATTTACCAAATTCATAATTTAACTCATACTTTAACCCAAAATATTACTGGTCATTTAACATGATGAAGAATTGAGGTAAAGCATAATGTATTATGATAAGATAATACTAGGAGGGCATGTTACAACATGTAAATTATAGCATTACCTATAAAAATTATTATAATTGAACTGAAACTTAAGAATGTTGAAGGGATGCATTTCACATAAGATAATAACAAGTGGTCAGTACGATTACTACGGTAACAAACCTTTCCATGCATGATAGCACGTAGAGTCTGTGCAGCAGCAGGGCCATGCTCCGAGTTCTGGTTACCTGACGTCTGGTAACTAGGTGGCACATAACCACCACCTATCTCGAATGCCGAAGGCACTTGATCATCCATCTTCTGTTCTGTGTTCTCCTCACTGTCCTGATGATAGTCACCAAATCTTTGCATTTTCTGATTGAGAACGGGAGGGCAAAGCTACACCTACAACACCAACACCAACCAGTTGCGCACATCTGTGTATACTGGGTTGTACTCACTACTGAGTAATCATGCAAAATGTCTCAACAGGTCTTAGGCTTTTCATAAATGAACCCTGTTCAGGGGTAGAAATGAACTTTTCAACACGGGAGGACTCCCTACGCTCAAAAAGAGGGCGTCCGCGGCAAAATGAGGGAGTGCGCAGTCTGAGGTTCAAAATTAAGGATATTTACAATAACGCATGTGCTTATTTTTAAGATTCATGCGGTTGCACTTCTGCCAAATTTTCGTTGGACATTAGCTGAAAAATACAGTAATTCCGCGAGGCCGTGCTCTGGAACGAACTAATTAGTATGGCAGAATTTTCAGGGAGTCACACGGACTCCTGCATATATGTCAAATCAGGGAGTCTGACAATAAATCAGGGAGTATTTGACTCCGGACTCCCGTTAATTTCGCACCCTGCTGTCATCGCAGGTAGTGGGTTAGATGCTACACATAATCAACCTAATTAACTACGCCACTTGTTGATAGCCTACAAGCTCAATTTCTTGGAGAAGTCGCAGGGCTTTATTGTTAGAGTAAAATAATGGGATGAACATGGATTAACCTAACATTTTTACCCAATATCTTCATACCCATGCACAAATTACAGAGAGTTTTCAGTCATCATCCTGCAAGTCAGTGGAAAAAAATACACGGGGGATCGGGGCGATTTAGCCCCCGAAATGCCAAAAAGAGCCCCCGTAAATTTGCATAGAGTTCAATGCAAACCAAATTTTAGAGTGCTATTTTCATGCACGCGAGCTTGAAAAGTAGCCCCCTGAAAAATAAATTAAAATTTTTTCCCTGCTAGTTACTCCCTCAACTCTCATCCTGGCAGGCAGGCAGGCAGGCAGGCAGGCAGGCAGGCAGGCACGCAGGCAGGTAGGCAGGCAGGCAGGCAGGTAGGCAGGCAGGCAATAAACAGACAGACAGACAGGGAGGCAGGCAGGCGGCGGCAGGAAGGCAGGCAGGCAGGCAGGTAGGCAGGCAGGCAATAAACAGACAGACAGACAGGGAGGCAGGCAGGCGGCGGCAGGAAGGCAGGCAGGCAGGCAGGTAGGCAGGCAGGCAATAAACAGACAGACAGACAGGGAGGCAGGCAGGCGGCGG